CCCCCCCCCCCCCCCCCCTTCTTCATGTCAAAACGTGCCAAGCATGCGTAAAAGGAGCCTGGAAAGTAGGATTGCGGTTGACAAGAGTGGGCCGCAATTATTGGTGTAACACTAGTTCGCAACCAATCTCAGCTCAGCAACAAAGAAAATAAGTAGTTTTCAAACCTCCGTTGTTATTTGATGCGGTACAAAACGAAAAGATGAATGCTGTGGCAGAACTTTTTAAACGCTAACTATACTCACTGCCCCTGATTCAACTGCTTTGGTCTTTACTAAAAGGAATAGGCGAGTTTTCGTCAAGGCCAATGAGCTCGTTAAATTTATGTGTAATTTTCGGCTTTTTGCAAGCCATAACAAAGAAAATAGCAGCCACTGAGGACTGCAAAATTGATTCTACCATAGACTCGGTTTCTGCATTAAGATTACCACCGCTGAGCTGGACTTCAGCTCTAATTTAAGGTTTGATTCCAGAGGTCAATATGCAAAATGGAGTCCTCGTATCTAACACTTTGCGTCGTAAATGCTTTTCTATTTTCCATCGCCTCTATACTCAATATTCTGACAATCTACGCGGTAAGAAAGACTCCGTCCTTGGCAAAGAATTTAAAAATATTGCTTCTGAGTTTAGCAGTTTCTCATCTTGGTATTAGTTAACTGGCGCAGCCCATGTATGTTGCACAACTCACTATGCAGTGGAAAGACCGCAATGAATCTTATAATGCCATTTATATCGCCGATCTTATCCCGACGAATATCTTTACTACTGCAACATTGTTTAGTGTCATGGCTCTATGTGCAGAGAGATTTTTGGCAATTCAACTTCACCTCAGATACCAGGAACTTGTGATGTACAGGCGCGTTATTATTGCCGTAATCTCAATTTGGGTATTTAGCACATTTACCTCATTGCTCAAGTTGTGGATCCCAAAAAAAATCATGTTCGTATTTTTTGTTATTAAAGATTCTTCTTCTATTATAACTGCAACTTTCCTGCGCATCAAACTTTACCTTACTCTACGACGCCACATCAATCAAATTCAGCTCACGCAAGTTGCGCAGAATGAGCAAGGCGAAAGTGTTCAAAGAAAAAGGAGATCTACGATGGCATCGCTTTACGTGTATTTGGTTTTCACAGTTTGCTATTTACCTAATATTTGTGTGTTAATTATTATCGCTTCCACTTCCGAACCAAGGAACGATCTACAGCATTTGCATTCTTATAATCTGACCCTGTTGTTTCTTAATTCAACCCTTAATCCACTCCCTTAACCATTGAGCTAGTGCTAGAAAGTGAAACAGATCCGACACACTGTGATAGCCACACTGCGAAATATATTGTCAAGTCACATTTAGCCCTTGAAGCCCCAATATCCACATACAAATTCTGCAAACTGATGTCCATACATCTCCTTTAAGAATTAGTTGAGAGAATTTGATAAAAGATCATGGAATTTTCCCTATGATGATCATTTTATTAATTCTCATAACTTTTTCCCTATGATGATCATTTTATTAATTCTCGTAACTTTATCTCTTGACAGTGTATGGATATTGTTAGGAGAAAATGGTTGTTGGTCACTATTGGGACTTAAAGGGTTAACGAAACCTTTGGGAGGATTCAGAACGCCTTATCAAGTACAAACCGGCGTCAAGCAGTTCAACCTGCGGGAAATGACGGCATTTTCAAGTTACACTAACTACACAAAATTTAAGAGAGCTTCAGTGTGATGTGTCTTGCCTCTAAAACTATTTCATCTCTTTTCACCTACACAATATTATCTAGTTCTGAAAATTTCACAGATTTCATGACTGTCTAAGAAACAAGAACTATTTTTAACCCTTATCTTGGGAATTCTAAATTACCAATTAGAAGTCGCTACTGCAACGCCAAAAACCGCACGTCATTAGCTTTCCAGTATCAGCGCATTAGGCGGCATAATATTAAATGTAGTCAAGAAATAGCGAATTTAATAAAAAACACTATACTTACCTTATTCATTTAAGATTTTATAACTGAGATCAACACCGCTATGCACTTAAATTGTTGGACGGATTTTCTACATCGAGAATTCCCATTTTAGAGTATTTTGCAACAGAAACAGAGCAGGAACATAGCCCTTCATTTGTTCTCTCAACATTTTCCTCGTCCGGCGGATGCGATAAAGCGGCTCCATGCTACGGAAAAATGTTTGGACAAGGTTACCGGTGATTTGATTAATCTTTTTTTGGAAACCAAACCTGCTGTTTTCTGATTGCTTTGAAAATTACACATAAAACACAAAAAGCCATCGTACAGAGCGTCTTTACAACAAGTGAGACCGAGTAAAATATACTAACATGTTCATCCATATAGTTGGGTTAAAAGAATGACGCCAGGAAAAATTTATAAAGGTAGCTTTTGTAAATAGAGTTGATCCAACAGCCTTAATTTAAGTTCAAATAATAAGCAACCCACCACATTGCTAAATATTTTCATGAATTTAACTTTATATCAGAGAAAACGGAGGACAGATAGGATTTCACCTCTTTTCCGCATTTCGGGATACAGTGTAAAACATATGATAACATATAACGCCGACAGTGGCGAAACTACAAATATATATACATATATAAAAACTTTAATTATGACTTACTGTCAAAGGTGGAAAAAAAAATGATGGACAAGTTGATTTTCCGATGATAACGTTGAACTGAGATTAATTTGTTAAACAAAACCCCTGTTTTCTAATTGCTTTAAAGCTTAAATATAGAAACCAATATTCAAAACAATTTTGCAACCTGTTCAAGTGACAACAAGGAAGACATCTCTTTTGACACACAAAGAAGAAGCCGCCTGTTAAAAGGAAACTTTTTGTCTCTACTCTGTAAAAGAGAAATCTTGGTCAAAGGCTGGCTTACGATAAATTCAAGAAAGGATAACAAATGGATTCCTCGTACCTCACACTGAGCCTTTCAAACGCATTTTTATCTTACACCGCCACCATGCTTAACATTGTTACAATCCATGCGATCAGAAAGACTCCGTCTTTGTCAAAAAATTTAAAAGCATTGCTCCTGAGTCAGGCCGTTTCTGATCTTGGTATCGGACTGCTGGCTCAGCCAATGTATGCTGCACGTCTTATTATGGAGTCGAAGCTAAACAGTGGAACTAATAGTTCTTATAATGTTATCTATATGGCGTACCTTATTCCGACCAATTTATTTACTATCGCTACGTTGTTTCTCATTGTTGTTCTGTGCGCCGAGAGATTCGCGTCCGTTCATTTTTACCTTAGTTACCATGAACTTGTGACACACAAACGCGTTGTCGCTGTTGTCGTCTCAATTTGGTTCCTTAGCGGACTTCTTTCATCAATGAGGCTGTGGATTCCCAAAAATATTACGTACGTGGTTTACGGAATTACTGGTTCTGCTTGCATTATAGCTGCCATTTTTTTCAGTGTCCGAATTTATTTGTCCGTGCGACACCACGTGAACCAAATTCAAGTGCTGCAGCTACAACAAGTATCGCAGAACGGTCAAATGGCTAACATTAAAAGGATGCGTAAGTTTGCCATCATGGCAGTTTACGTTTGCCTGGTTTTGCTGGTTTGCTATCTGCCAAATGGTTTCACTTTATTTGTTACTGCGTTAAGCGGATCAAACACTGGTATAAATCATGTTCACCACTATACTCTAACGCTAGAGCTTCTGCATTCATCGCTTAATCCACTGATATATTGTTGGAAGATGAGACATGTTCGACACACTGTCATTGGCATACTGCGAAATGCATTGAAATTGTCAAAGCACCACTAAAGGTGAAAAAGTTAAGCGAGGTTGAACTTAGTTATTTTTGCACTTGACCTTCCATACATTGCCTCTATTTTATTTACGCGCGTAAAATTTGCGTGCTTACGAACGTGAAAATTACTCTTCCGTGGAAATACACCTTTACTGCTTTAGGCAAGGTTCAAACCGGATAGCACCTACTCCGACACGGAAACCTCAAGGGATAATGCTTCTGTTCACAAATAAGAACGGTGATTATGGAGAGATTTCTGTAACGGAGCGACGCTGCGCCGCGCCGATCTTGTAAGTGATTCGTCACATATCGGATTCGTTTCCGCCACTCTTCATCGCAGTGTGAACGGGTCCATTAGGTTTCTGGGAAATTGCCCACCTACCCCTCCCCTAAGTCAACATTAACACTTACTTCTCACTTAGGGCAAAATGATGGGTTAGGGGAGGGGTAGGTGGGCAGTTTCCCAGAAACCTAAATTGATCCGCGTGAACTGGTATTCTTACCTTAGCGGAAGCAAACTGACTAGGAGCGAGGACTGGAACCCACTGACACGGAAGGAAATATTCAGAAGTGAGAACTGGGTCTTAGTTCAACTGACCCTCTCGACAAACCGTTCCCGTATGATTTTCAGGGGCACCCAACGAGGATATAGTTCAAAACCACTTAACATAGCATTGTTGAACGTATTTTAGTATTTAAACGGTAGACATAGGCATATTTTTATCCCCTAAAAACTTTTCATCTGTTCGGATTTCCTAGCTGAAAGTCTAGTGATCCGAAGATTATAGGGATCAAAACATCCCTTTTCGAAAATTTCAGCCGGGAAAAGGCTCCCGAAAATTCTAGGTGGCCTCTTTTAGGGTAAAAATTCGTTAAAAATGGGTAATTATACCATTTTGTAGATGTTCGAAAATCCTAGAAGAGGCAGGCAAGCAAGAAATTTTACAACAAATGTTCCGAAAATTCTAGATCTCAAATCGTCTTCCGAACAGATATTTTCCGAAAATTGCCGTTGGGTGCCCCTGGATGTTCAATGTGTGTGAACGACTCTTTTCAGTTCAGTGCCTTTGCCATCCATACTGAACTGGATAGCTTTTCATGTCAGCACGAAAAGCTATTCGGCAAAGTGCAAAAACTTTTCATTCAAACGATTTCGCCGTTTCTGATTGGCTCCAATCTCTCAGCTAATTCTTCACAACCAACTGGCGCATCTTTCAAAATTTATGGTAATAACATATTTGAAAGATGCGAGCAATTTACGATCGAATTAACTGTGGATATTCATCTCAGCAACAAAGAAAAGAAGTAATTTTTCAAGCCCGCTTTGTTAAAATAATGCAGGGCAAAAGATGAGACAGACCGTTGACTAATTGTTTACGTCGTCGATCTTACACATTGTAAATATGAAAGGATGTTGAGGAAGGAAGTTTAGGGAACTTATTTACTGAATATTCTGAACAATTTTCATTTACGATAAAGCACGTAATAATGAAGAAGTGAAGAAATCAATTAACATGTAAATAAAACAGCTGAAAGTTTTCAAATCGAGTAGAAAGTAGTTCATGATTATCTGAGTCAGACATCAAAATCGTATTGCATTAAAATCGTTGGGCAGTTTTTTTTACATTGTGGAACTGACACATAAAACTATTGAGTAGTCAAGAGAAATAAAATAAAGCATACACAGGGTGAGGGACAGTTTTGGCCTCTTTCTGCATTTCATTCGTTTGGATGCCGGCAATATAACAAAATAGTGGTCTCACTACAGATTTAAACAAGACTTCAAATGTGACTCATCTCTCAAAGTTGGAGAAAATAGTTGGACAAGCTTGCCCATGATCAAGTTGAAGTTAATTTAAACAAAACTTTATGTTTTCTAATTGTTTTGAAGGTTAGTCAGTCAGCATCGTAGCTCTGGCAGCCGCGTCCGCAAAATCTCATTTCCATAAGTGTTTTGCTGGCTTCAGCACAAATCCAAAAACGACAACGAAAGGATTTCTCGTACCTCCTTCTATGCCTTTCACACGCGTTTTTATCTTACACCGCCAATATGCTTAACATTGTTACAATCCACGCAATAAGAAAAACTTCGCCCCTGTTAAAAACTTAATCGGCGCAAATACTAAAACAAAAGCGTCCTCCATGGAAGAGAGGGGGGGGGGGGGGAGGGTAAATAGTTTTCAAGCCGACCCTTTGATAAATAATGTGCTGCAAAATATGAGACAGACCGTCGACTAACTGTAGACTAACTGTTTATGGTTGTCGATCTTACACATTGCAAATATGAAAGGATATTTATCCGAATTATTTGGGCGCTTGATATGGAAGATTTCAAAAAGCTAACTGATTTAAGTCTTAACTAATATGCAGTACGTCATCTTATCAAATATTCTGATGGATTTTAGTTCATAAAAAAAACATGCAATAATGAAGTAATGAAGAAAGCGTTTAACATGTAAATAAAACAGCTAAAATTTTTCATATGGAGTAGGAAATAATTATTAAAAAGGGATGTCAGCTCCAAAATTTGTTCATAATTTTATGACTAAGTTAGAGATCAAAACACTTACTTTTTTGCATTAAAATTCTCCGGCAGTTTTGTTCCACTGCGCAACTGACAACTTATTCTGACATTTGCATGTGTTCTCTCGTCATTTCGATTAATCGGATGCGACAAAGTGGCGCACCAAGAAAAAATATATGGTCGGAAAAGTTTACTGGTGATTAATTTTAAGTTTAAATTGAAACAAAAACGCCTGTTTCCTAATTGCTATGAAGTTAAAGATCTATACTTCAAAATTTTTAAACGCCTTAAAAACATGTGAAACATCTGTTTTTCGGCACAGCAATACACGATCAACAGTAGTACATGTACTGTGTTCAGAAATAATTCATCGTGGTTCAGTTAAATGCTTATCAAAGTCTAACTTGCGAAACGTTTTTAAAGTCTCCAAACATTGGTCAATTCGCATCGTGGCTCTGATCGGAGCAGGTCTAGAAAACGATTCTACTGACATCCTGAAAAATCAAACGCTTTCACGGTCCGATACGAATTTTCGACTTGCTTCAACCACCAGAAACAAATGGAATTGTCGCATCTCACAACTTCTATCTTAAACGCGTACTTCTCTTACACCGCCACCACGCTGAACGTTGTAGCAATCTACGCAATCAGAAAAACTCCATCCTTGTCAAAAAATTTTAAAACACTGCTACTGAGTCTGGCTGTTTCTGATCTCGGTGTTGGTTTACTAGCTCAACCAATGTTTGCTGCATATATTATGAACTCAAAACAAAAGAATGAAATCAATGAAACTTATACTGCCATATATATCGCGTTTCTTATCTCGACGAATTTCTTCCTTTTCGCGTCATTGTTTAGTGTCACGGCTCTCTGTGCAGACAGATTTTTGGCAATTTACCTTCACCTCAGATACCAGGAACTAGTGACATACAAACGCAATGCTGCTGTAGTGACCTCAATCTGGGTACTCAGCGCACTTATTTCACTGGTCAGATTTTTCATCCCAAAAAATATCATGTACCTGATTTTCGTCATTATTATGTCTATTTGTATTATAACTGCAACTTCCCTGAGCGTCAAACTTTATCTAACTCTAAGACGCCACATAAACCATATTCAAGTCCCGCAAGAACCGCAGAATGACCAAGGCGAAATTGTTTTAAGAAAAAGGAAATCTGCGATGGCGTCGCTTTTCGTTTATCTGGTTTTCATAGTTTGTTATTTGCCTCATATTTGTAGCTTATTTATTATCGCTACCATTTCCGAACAAAGGAACGATGTACAGCTTTTGTGGGCTTATACTCTGACCCTGTCGTTTCTTAATTCAACCCTTAATCCACTGATCTACAGTTGGAAGATGAAACAGATACGAAACACTGTCATAGGAACACTACGAGATCTATTTTTATGTCACACCAAACGAGATCTTCGGGGCGATTGAGAACGCCTCTCAAGGCAAACCGTTACGCTTGGTGAGACACATTTTTACAAATGAATAGACGGTAGACTCCACATCATACAACCAATAAGTCAGTATTAAAATACGATCATGCAAAGTGTTATTTAGAGAAAAGAACATGAGGCTTCGTTGCAAAGCACGTTTGGCACTCGTCGCAGGGATGCTGGTATATGACTAGAGTATCTCTTCCTGCGTATCTTGTTCGTGTCACCTTTTCACTGCTTGAACCTTTACTTAAACAATTAACTTAAGCAGGTTCCGATTAGTTTTTGGGTAGTCTTTTATGATCCACAAAAACAAAAATTATAAATAAATAAAACAAAACAAACGAACAGTTAAAGACACACACACACACACACACACACAAAACAAAAAAGAAGACAAACAAACAAACATTAACAAACACAACAGCAAAGTTTACCCCAAAATTTCACCGCGAAAATAAACTACACAATCTAAATAACTCAGAAGAACAACGGTATTCATTTTCGGACGGCAATTCTCAACAACCGTTAAGATTGAAGCACCTTTCAATTGTTTTCAACAGGTAATCATTTTCAATAAATGGGACGAGCCGCAGTTCACCTTAGCGGCCACAAGTTTTGGAACGACGGAAAGTGGCATTAAATCGGATAATGCCCTCCCTCCTTATGGTGGTCATTACAAAGTGCGACAGGCTATAGAGTGTTTTCACTCTAGTGGCCAGCATCTACGCATATTTATTGGAACAAAAGAAAGCGTATGCACAAGAAAAGAGTTCATAGGGTTGGTTTGGAACAACAAACATGGCCGCCGTTTTATTGTTTTTTGACACCAATATGGCCGCTGTGACGTCATGTGAAAACACTCTATTTCATTACAGAGAGCGATGGCAGGTTATTACGAAGTGCGACAGGCCATTTCGTTCTTAAGTGAGATGGCCAACCTCGTTCTCAGGGTTCTCTCCTATACCCGTTCCTACGGAGCGAGGAGTGGGGACGGGTAGGAGAGAGCCCTGGGAACGAGGTTGGTGAAATGGCCTGTTATTTCAAAGTAAGTTTTGTTTATACAAGGTACGATGGCCTGTTAATTACATACCGCGACAGGTATCTACCATTGAAGTTCGAGGTTTTAGTACAAATTGGACGATTAAAACCGGACATCCAGATTATTCTACAATCCTGGCCAAAAGGTTTCGAGACATTTCCTTTTTCACGTGTTTTTATTTGTATGGAATTTGTAGCTAACCGACAACACAACTTCAAACCGCCTAACTAATGCCCCCCTCCCGGATCAAACCTGTTCAAGTTATGTAAAAGGCGTTTGACTTCTAACACCCA